TATTATTACAAGAGACTCATAGATCTGCCACATCCGCAGATGAACTTAAAACACCTGAGTTTCCAAGCATGTTCTCTGCCTGCTATAACTCTAGGCAAAGAGGTGTAGCTATTTTAATACACAAAAACATCAATTTCACAGCACTGGACACAGTCTTTGATCCAGAGGGTAGATTTATAATGTTAAAAATATCTGTACAGAACCAAAGCTTATGTATTGTCAGCATATACTGTCCAAATATTGATGACCCTCCATTCTTTCATGATTTTTTCTCTGTACTCTCCGAACACTTGGACTGTCTACTTATACTTGGAGGTGATTTTAATTTTTGGATGAATTCCTTAACAGACAGGCTCAGTACAGCTGGGACTCAGCGGAATTGGCAATCCACTAATATAGTTAAACAGTACATGAGTGATTATGGGCTTTGTGATGCATGGCGATCTCTTCATCCTAACCGTAGAGAGTATACTTTTTTCTCACACGTCCATCACTCTCACTCACGTTTGGATTATTTTCTAGTCAGCAGCTCATTGTTGGCTGACATTTCAGACACTGAGATACACCCCATAGTTGTCAGCGACCATGCTCCGGTTTCTTTAACTCTGGTAAATAAGAAGACAATCCCACCAAGCAGAAACTGGAGGTTTAACACATCACTGCTTAAAGACGAAGGTTTTATAGAATTTTTTAAAAAGGAGTGGGCTTTATATTTAGAACATAATGACCTGCCTGGAACATCAGCATCTATTCTCTGGGAGGCAGGAAAGGCAGTGATGAGAGGTAAAATAATCTCTTTCTCATCACATAGGAAAAAAACAGAAAACAAACGTATTCAGGAGTTAGAGGAAATCATCAAGTCTTTAGAGGCATCCACAGAAGAAGAGTCAATGAGCAAATTACGTAAAGCTAAACTAGAACTTCATGGAATCATTGACAAAAAGACACAATTTTTAGCACAAAGACTACGAATAGAAAACTTTGAACATAGTAATAAATCAGGTAAATTCTTAGCTAGCCAATTAAAAATAAATAAAGAGAAAACTATCATATCTGCTGTTAAAGACTCAACCGGGAATATAGTTAATGACCCTGAAAGAATAAACAACACCTTCAGAGACTTTTACCAAACGTTGTACTCACCACAGATAAACCCATCAGATAATGAGATCAATGAGTTCCTTGACAGGATAACACTTCCTAAATTATCAGACAGCCAAGTTACAGTCCTGGACTTGCCACTAACATCAGCGGAGCTCCAGGAAGCCCTTAAATCCATGAGTAATAGGAAAGCTCCAGGTCCAGACGGGTTCCCAGTAGAATTCTACAAAGAATTCTGGATCATTCTGGCTCCAACATTTTTCAGAATGGTGAGGGAAATCGAAGAGCGTGGCAAATTACAGCCAAACATGAATTCAGCCAATATTAGTCTCTTGTTAAAACCAGGCAAAGACCCAGCATTTCCAGCCAGCTATCACCCAATTTCTCTTATTAATATTGATCTCAAAATAATTTGTAAAGCCCTGGTCAAAAGATTAGAGAAGGTAACCCCCTTCATAATACACCCTGACCAAACTGGTTTCATTAAGGGTAGACAGTCACCCACAAACTCACGTAGATTACTTAATTTGATAGATTTCTCTTACAGTAGAAACATAGAAACTAGTATATTATCTCTAGATGCAGAAAAGGCTTTTGATAGAGTTAACTGGAAGTTCTTATTTGCAACTTTACATAAATTTGGTTTTGGCAACTTCTTCATAAACTGGCTACAAACATTATACAGTTCACCAACGGCACGTGTCAGGACGAATGACCAAATATCAGCTAGCTTCTGTCTTCAGAGGGGGACCAGGCAGGGATGCCCACTCTCCCCCTCACTATTTGCTATCTTTATTGAACCACTAGCAGCAGCAATTAGGCAAACAACAGATATTAAAGGGATAAAGTGTAAGAAAATAGAACATATGATAAACTCTTTTCCAGAGTTTCAGATTACTCTATAAACTGGTTAAAATCCACAGTTCTACCAATTAATTTCTCATTTGTCAATTTGCTTAATACACAATTGGAGTCAGGGAATATCACATACCTGGGAATTAATATCTCTCCCAAGTTAGCAGATCTAACCAAACTAAACTACATCCCACTTTTAAGGAAAGTGGAAGATGATCTTGCAAGATGGAAATCCTTACCATCATCACTCATGGGGAGAGTTGCTACAATTAAAATGATGATCTTACCCAGAATAAATTACTTATTCTCGATGATCCCAAACAAACCACCAGCTGACTGGTTTAAATCTCTGGAATCCTCTATTACTAAATTCCTTTGGCAGGATAAACCTCCAGGAATTAGCTTAAAAACGCTTCAGAAGACCAAAGACAGAGGAGGACTGGATTTACCCAACTTTTATTATGATTTCTTAGCCAACAGGCTGCAATATATACCAAGATGGTTGCAAGATAACCCACTATATGAGTCCTGGTTAGATATAGAACAGACACTTTGCAATACGATAGAGCTTTCAGACTTACCATTTATTAGCTCAAGCATAAGAAAACATGAAAGCTTCAAAAGTATTAGTATCAGCACTTCTCTGACGGCATGGTGGGAGTATCTTAAAATGACAGCGTCTTCACTAGTACCATGCAGACGCACACCTATCTGGAATAATCCTGACATTTTGCAAAACAACAAAATGATGAACCTTCCGGACTGGAAAAATAAAGGAATCCTATGCCTGGAACACATATATGAAGGATTGGACTTCATTCCATTTAATCAAATAGTCTCCCAATTTGGAATGGATAAGAATAGCTTTTTAGAATATCACCAAATTAAATCTGTAGTCAAACAAAAATTTAAGCTCAATAAAATAGAATTACAAACACCACCAAGGGCATTAGACTTTTATAATCTCAAACCCCCCAAACTACTGTCTAAAGTATATAAGACACTGTCCAAAATAGACAATAAAATTGCAATCCCTATTGAAAAATGGGAGGTGGATCTATCAGTTAGCTTTGACCAGGACTTCTGGTCCCAAACTTGTTTAAAACTTTTAAAATGATCAGACACCCCAATTTACAATTAATTCTGTACAAAATTCTACACAGAGTACACTATACAGGTCATCGGATGTTCAAGATGGGGTTTGTGTCGTCTGACACCTGTACACACTGCACAAACAACATTCCTGACAATTACATTCATGCACTGTGGTCCTGCCCACCTGTCCAGGAATTTTGGGGTAGAGTATGTGAGGATCTGTCAAAATGTCTGAAATGTCATATCCCAACTTCCCCCTCTCTTTGTTTACTGGGAAACCTGGACGATGTCCCGATTGAAACATCTTTGGTTCACGTGGTTCTGACTGCCATATGCATCGCTAAGAAAACTATCCTCTTGAATTGGAAAAATAGAGAAACTCTCTGCATTAACCAGTATAGAAATCTTTTGTTAGATCATATTGCACTTGATATAACCTCTGCTTCCACTTCAGATGAATCTCTCTGGGCTCCTTTGATCGGTTCCATCACATAGCGAGGGTGGGGGGCCGTTGATGTTGTCCTACGGGATGGTGTGTGTGTGTGTGTGTGTGTGGGGGGGGGGGGGGGGGGGGGTGTCAGAGTTTGGAGTATCCGGATGTTCCCTGGAGGTGGGTTCACTGGGGGTGTCTGGGACTAGGGGGGCCGTTGCCCCCCTCTGGAGGTGCTTGGGTTGCCTCGGGGGGTGGACTACTGGCAGTTGTTAGTGGGGCCCCTTGGGGGGCTTGGCGGCGGCCATGGGTCACTGCCTGGCGGCTGCAATGCCCCTGGGCGGGTCTGGGTGGGGGCCTGGGGGCTCAGGGTTTGGGGGTGGCTGGCCCCGTGTGGGGATCTGGGCGGGGCCTTGGGGGTCAGGTCCTGACATGTATGCTGCCGGGAAGAAGGCAGGAACACGCAGCAGTGCCTGGCCCAGGTTCGGGGGCCTCAGGTAGACCTTGGCTCCTCTGCCGTTCCATCACAGGGGAGGGGGAGGTTCAGGAGGGGGAGGACTAGGGCTGCAGCTATCGAATATTTTAGTAATCGAGTATTCTATCGAATATCCGGATCGATTAATCGAGTAATCGAATAAAACATACTTTTGCTAAATTAAGGTTCAATTATAAATATACAATATAAAAAAGACAGACTTAATAATGAGAACAACAAATTTAAATGTTATGTCTAAATGACATTTTATTAATGTGTTTGTATAATGGAAAATAGTAATTGTTTCTTTAGAAAAATCAGAGAACTAAAATTACTTCCACCTTAACATTTGAGATGAAAACACAAATATAAATAATATTACTTTAAACTTAACATTCCCTGAGACAGTTACATAAAAATAAAAAATTATTTGAATAACAAAAAATCAGTTATCACTCTTAGTATCAAAAAGAATGTGCAATAAATTGTGCCATTAACACTGCCCTTCAAATGTGCAACTTTACATTCAGAACTAACGTAAGACAGTAACTTGGCCCACAAGTCCTACTACTGTAAACAAGGATTTTAAACTGTCCTCAAGAGACTGCCTGGGGAGTGGAAGTACAATCTATCCAAGGAGCCTGTGGTTGCAGTGAAGGAAGGTGAGCATATCTACATGCTCAGGGCTGAGGCTTGCCCTCTTCTTTGACACAATATTACCTGCTGCTGAAAACAACCGCTCGGATGGGGTGGATGTAGCTGGAATACAGAGCAGGGAGTTTGCCAGCTTCGCCAATGTTGGAAAGCGTTGTTCATTAGCTTTCCACCAGATCAGAGGATCATCCTTCTTTGGAAGGGACTGTTCTCCGAAATATGCAAAGACCTGTGACAGTTGGGGGAAAAAAGAACAAACAAACAAAATCTAAAAATGTCTTTGGCTTATTCAACATTATGAAATATTCATTTTCTGTTCTAGTAGAACATTTGAACTGCCTTATAGGAAATTGTTACCAAAATGAAAGGGGCAAAAAAAACAAAGCATTATTTATGTTTACCTCATTCTGTATAGCTTCATTTGACAGCTGTTCTTCATCTTGCTCTTCATCACTGCTGGTGGAGTCCGAGTCAAGGAAGGATGTGGTCATCTTGTTTTTATGTGCTGTAGATGGAGCACCCTCTGCTGTGCTGGATGCTTCATTTCCGCAACCAGTAGGCCTCAGTTGCTGCTTGACAGCAAGTGCCATGGTTTGCAATGCGTTTTTGACTCCAAATGCTTGGTCAGCAGGCAAGAATTTGAGTTTTCGAAACCTGGGATCCAGAGAAGCAGCAAGCAGTGTGATGTTTGGAGACTCAGGTTTGAACTCACCCAAGTCTTTCCATCTTGTTGTGACCTGTTCTTTTGCATGAGTCTGGAATGACACCACAGGTGGTGACTCGAGATTCTGACTCTGGAGTGACTTCTTAATTTTGTCAACAACATGTGGAAGTGCAGAAAGCGTAACATATTGCTCTCCACTCATAAAAACTGGCAGAGTGGAAGGGCTCAAGGACCTGGTTGAGCTCCTCAATCAGGCTCCACTGGTCGGGTTTGAGATCCAGGTAATGTTTCCCTCTTTGGGTCACTTCTGGGTCAGACAATGTAGCAGTCACTGGCCATCTTTGTTCTTGCAGCCTTGACAACATGGCATAGGTGCTGTTCCAGCGTGTGCAGACATCCTGCAACAGCATGTTTTCTTTGGTCCCCATGTGCCTCTGCTTGACCTTTAACTTTGTGCTTGCCAATTCACTTTTCTTAAAATGTTTGACAAGAGTTCTTGCTGCACCCACACACCTGGAGATAGCCTGTTGGCTTTTTAAAGTGTTTTGCACAACCAAGTTGAGGGTGTGTCCTGCACATGTCACTGGCTCCCATCCATGCTTTGCATGCAAAATCTTTGTTGCAGCTACAACATTAGCACCATTGTCGTGTACAACAGCCTTGATTTTCTCTGGTGGAATGCTGAATTTGGCAATTACCTCCTCAATCCAATCTGCAATGTTTGCAGCTGTGTGCCTCTCCTCCAAAGGCATAGTGGTAAGACAATGAGACACGATTTTCCAGTTTTCTAGGTAGTGGCACGTTACCACCATGTAGGCCTCTGTTGCCACACTTGTCCAGATATCAGTAGTAAGTGCTATGGTGTCAGTCTCTTGCAGGGCTTTCTTCATCTTGTTTTTGATGTCTTCATATTTTTCTTCCAACCGCTTTGTGAAGAAGGTCCGAGATGGAAGAGCATAATTTGGCTGGAAAGCAGCAATCATCGCTTTGAAGCCAGTATCCTCCACCATGCTCAGCGGGCGCATGTCTGTAACCAGCATATTTAGAATGTGGTCTGTCAGTACGGCTGCTTGTGCTGGGGTGCAGGCAGGTGCTTTCAGCAGAAATCTATCCAGGACAGGTTGTGATGTTTTACTGAAAAAAAGGCAAAAAATAAATAAAGTGAAGTAAAACATTCCTAAATTGCAATTAGGGTTTCGTACATTTCCATGGAAGGCTATGCTAGGGAATTTTGGAAATATTTAAAATTAGAAACTGTGCACAAGAAATAGGGGAATTCATGAAAATTAACTGGAATTTGGGGATAATTTTAACAAACTATCATTCAAACAAAGTTTTTTTTAATTGTAAACAATTTTTTAAAATATACATTTTAACGGATGTATTTTAAAGCAGCACTTTAAAACTAACTTATAACAAATAAATACATTTTATTGACACTACATTTGAGTCAACATTTACGTCCTGAAAAATAGTTTATTTACCTGGTCTCGGCACGTCCACTCATGCCCTCAGTCGGATGCTTTCTTAAGAGGTGCTGCAGCATAGAAGAAGTGCTGTTGTGGTATGCTAGCTCCACCTTGCAATGCTTGCATACAACGACGTTTTCCTTGCCTTTTAACGTAAAGTGATCCCACACCTTGGATAACTTCTGTCGCTTCCTATATCCCTCGTTTTGGTCTTGCTTGTTTTCATTTATTTCCGTGGCGTCTGCCATTGTTGGCTGTCCAGCTGAAAAGACGAAAAGACCGCTGCGCCTGCGCGCTGTGCAGTAGAGTGCATGGCACGTATAATCTGTGACGTAACCGCGTTGTGCAACACAAAGAATCCGTGCGAAACGCAGTTTTTTTCAGCTATGGTCTATTTAACGAGTCCTCGAGGCAGCGGAAAATCCTCGAATATTTTTTGTCCTCGAATCATTCGAGTTACTCGAGGATTCGTTGCAGCCCTAGGGAGGACCCAACCTTACCTGGATGTCCCATGTCTTATATATTCTGGAAGTTGTGCAAATGCAGGGATGGGCATAGATATTCTGCTGGGGTGGGGCTGGGTTGGTGCCCTTGAACTCTGTGAGGCTCTGTAATGCTGCTGCTTTGGGCCCTGGCAGGATGGGCTGGGGTCTCCATGCCCTGGGTGGCAGTTTGACAACAGAGGTGCCTATTGGGGCCAGTAGGGGAGCTGGCTCCCTGGAGGGCTAAGCCCAGTCAGCCATTCCTCCCCATCCCCGCATATTTCTCTCCTCCTGCTCCCTCACATCATGACACAAACATACACATAGGACCTTGGGGGGTGGGCAAGTCAGGGAGTGCGGGTATGGACCCCATTTCCACATTCCTGTGGCAACCTGCCCCCCAATTTTATTTGCACCTTATACACTTCCACTGACGACATTCCACACAAACACACACTTAGGGTCTTGGGAGTGAGCACATTCGACGGCATTTGGCAGGGGGATATTTCAGCCTCCTCCCGGGTGCCAGTGTCCACTTCCAATTTTAAACCGCACTTAGACACTGATGGCTGAGGGTGTAAGTGGGGTGGTGCGGTGGCACCAGTTGGCATAGGCCGGATGATGCCCGCACTGCCCACTCACCACAGCCATGGAATACACCTCATGATCACACAACACTATATTGGAGCAGGCGGAGGGAGACTAGGGGTCTTAGCCACCTCTGTTGTTGCTAGGCCTCCTGGGGCTGGAGGCTAGGAGGGAGATCTGGCCGTCTGGTTGGGGTTTGGGTTAGGGTTGCAGTCTCCTTGGGGTTCCTGTGTTCTGGGGCAGCGCCCGGATCTCTGGGACTTGGAGCTCCCCCCGTCTCCTGCGCATCTTTGGGGGGCGAATCTGTGGTCCCTCACACTCTCTGTTGGACGCTCCTATAGAGAAACCTTACATAAACAAGCGCGTGTACACACACAGGTGCTCACATGGTGCTCTCAAAAGTATGGGCTTGGGCACATTCAACACAGGTCTTAAGACTATGGTGGGCACTTAATGCACTGTGATTTATTATCGTGATTCTTCAGTTAAGCAATGTTGATTATATATTTTCTTCATCAAGTTGACGCAGTGATAGCTAGATCTTGTTGTATTGTTGTTGTGTCCCTTTTTTTTTTGTCTTTTTCTGCAGGTCTAGAAGCAGACTCTTGTTCATTGTTTATTTTTGTGGAACCCCCCCCCCCCCCCCCCCCCCTCCTCCTCTCTCCCCACCTTTTCTTTTCCTTTCTCTTTCACCTCTGTCTCCGTGTCTGGTCGGAATTACAATGCATTCAACAACAATAACAATAAAGTTTTAAGTATCAGGCGTGACATTAAAAGCAAACGCTTTGATGCTCCACCTGAGAGTAAATCTGTAAGGCTTGTCACCAGCATTCAGACATCGATTCTGCTTGCTTCACAGCCAGACAGGACACGGTAAAAAAAAAAAAAAAAAAGCACGCCCTTTCAGTGGGAGTTTAGTTAGTTTAGTAAAACCCGTACAGTAATCAACACTCGGACAGCTCCTGTGTCGATGAAGCGGAGGCGGGACTGTGTTGACTGCAGAATAACCAGTAATTAGACGTAGCCCCGGTGGAATGTCTCGGCAGATCTACGATGCTTTGTAGTCAAATCATCATCAAGCAACTGTTGGTCAGCAACGATGTTTAGGTGGACTTTCAAAGCCCTAGAAGAGGTGATGCCCCATTGGATCACCATTTCTTGCTGTGTCTTAAATCTTCTACTAAGAAAGATGTTACCAGACAAGGGACCAATGGGGGCAGTGGCGGGCTGGTAATTGGGAGAAACAGGAGACTTGCCGGCGGCCTGGCCATTAATCTGGCCGGCTCAGTGATTGCCAAAAACCATGACGTGCGTAACATCTAAATGAACAATCCGTTATACAGCTCATCAGAGCATCTGCTCTCCTGACGTTCACATAAACGGTGTAAATTGGGCCCAAAGACACCTCCTCCTTGGTCTGGGTCTGGCAAAGAGCTGCGGACAACCCTACCCCCAAGCACACTACCGCACCACCGCACAATTGCCCCAGAGGCAAAATGGACAGGTCAGGAAAGGTGGAGCAGAAAAGGAGAGATTGCAAAAGAATAAAGCTCTGGCCAGATGCATGTTCAGTCAGGCCTGTATGTGATCATGTCAGGAGAACCGGTTTAAGGTGGAGTTTTTGGGCCAGTTGAGCTATTGAGCACTGTGCGATGCTGGTTGCATCGGGGGAGGGGAAACAGCAGCTGTCAGGAGCTGATCCGGATGATCAGATTTTCAGACTCATATCATTTTTAGAGACAGACAGCAGTGCTTTTGGTCGGTACCAGTACTGCTGCCACTTCTTATTCTAACCATTCAGTATACTGGCACTTTTTTCTAGGGTATGGTGCATATGGTAAATTTTCCGGGTATTCATTAGTTGAAATATCTGAAAAAACTATCTGTTTGTCCTTAAATACCAGTCATCCACACTCTGGCACGCACTCCACGAAGGGCCGCATGTTGTGCAAAGGGCGCATCATTGCCGCACCGCGTGCCACCATCAGCTCTGGCAAAGGTGAAAAAAAGAGTTTTCTGACACCGTGCGCAATTCCGCAGCAGCTGACCAACCAGTAGTTAAATGCTCTGACAGGAAGGTAGATGGAGGAGGAGGGACAAAAGGAAATATTCAGTAGATCATGAGCAAACACAAGAAATAAAATGTCAAAAGACATTCTTCATTTGAAAGTGAACTTTCTTTGTAGTCATAAACATCCCAACTGCTGCTGATCATGAAACAGGAGAGAGGATAATCCTGACTAGACGTAACCTGACCTGCCAGACTGGTCCTCTGTTCTACACAGAGAACTAGTCTGGTTACACAGGCAGAGAGGCAATGAGGGGCGGGACTAGCCAGCTCAAAAATAACCAATCAGAAAAAAGGTGGAAATGCTCACCGTACCGCGCAACGTTGTAGTTTTTTTAGCTGTAGCCCAAAATGGCGTCTGGTGACAGGGCAAACATCTTTCTTTAGAAGAAAGGCTTTTGGTGCTTCTACTTGTGGTTTTGAACACATGTTCAAGTCATTAAGAACAGAGGAAAGAGACGCAGCGAACTCCTCTTCAGACAACATGTTTATGAGTAACTCAGCATTGCAGTGTGTGTGTGTGTGTGTGTGTGTGTGTGTGTGTGTGTGGGTGTGCGTGCGTGCGTGCGTGTGTGTGTGTGTGTGCGTGCGTGCGTGGGTGGGCGTGCGTGCGTGTGTGTGTGTGTGTGTGTGTGTGTGTGTGTGTGTGTGTGTGTGTGTGTGTGTGTGTGTGTGTGACGTACGCTACTCAGCGCTGATTGGCTCGGTTAGAATTCTCAGGGGGTGGGGTAATTGAGTAGAAAAGTTCCCAGACCCTTGCTTCTGGCTGGTCAGGCTGGACTGGACTGGAGATTAGACTTTACAGCAGCCCTGACGATCATTTATGAAAGGTCTTGTTAAATACATAAACCTTCACCTTTGGCTTATATTGTCTTTGGTTCAAGACATAATATTATTATTGGTGTATATATAAATGACATATAAGAAAACATCCATACTGGCCTAAGTCTGTCTGTCTTTCTACTGAAGGAGAGACAGGCAGAGAGATAGAGAGAGAGGGATTATATATGTATATCTATATATATATATATATATATATATACCGTAAATCCTCTAATACAGGCCCGGGCCTGTATTTGACTCAAGCTCATCAAGCTCCAGGCCTTTATTGGAAGGAGGGCCAGTATTAGAGGCAGGCCTCTATTTCTATTTGAGCAAAATGAACTAATGGTTCGTTGGAATTTTTGACAATTAATATTGCGCCCACATTTTCAAAGTTAAACACATTTCTTTTAACAACAGTAGTTTCTGCTTCAGCCCTCTCCCCCCTCCCCCTGCGCAGCAGCCGCAAACTCACTGATACGCCTGCAGCCTTTCGGAGTTCCTGCCGCTCTAAACATTAAAATAATTATTTCATTTTCTGTTCCTCACTTCTGATTACCTTCAATGGTGTCTGTTTGTTGCAACCAGCAGGTACAAAAACTAACTTGTTTTTATTTGACTATTTTTCTGTCCTGTCTGTTTATTATCTTCCGGCATCTCCTCTCAATCCTAAAGAAAAACTGCTACCTGGGTTCATAGATATTCACCTTATGAGTTACCATTGAACTGCAGTTCAAAAAGATCTACCGACCGTAAAAACAGCTGAGTGCTCGCTGCTTGCCGGCCGCATCAGTGATCGGTGCGTCACCGGATGACAAGTTGATGCGCCCCGCTCCACAGCAAAACGCATCAGGCGCAAATAAAAGACAAAAAACATCAAAGGAAATGAACCGACATGAACGATTGCGTGTTAAATAATTTGGCAACACCTGATTGTTACTGTGGCCGTGCTCAGGAGGCAGATCTACCGACCGCAAAAACAGCGGAGCGCTCCCTGCTTGGCGGCCGCATCAGTGATCAGTGCGTCGGAGGACAAGGTGATGTGCCCCGCTCCACAGCAGCGAAACACATCAGGCGCAAATAAAAGACAGAAAACATTAAAGGAAATGAACCGACATGAACGATCGCGTGTCAGTACCGACGCACTGGCACAGCGCGTTGTATTAGAGGATTTACGGTGTGTATGTGTGTATATATATATAGATAGATAGAAAGATATATATATATATATATATAGATATATATAGATATATATAATGACAGCTGGATGTCTTTTTTCATTGAATCTATATAAAATAAGACATTTTACTAGTGAGAGTTAAATTATATGTGTTTAAAATGAAAGTTTCTACCAGTCAGAATTCAGTTTAGCTATTGTGTTTATCTGGAACATTCATTTTCACTAAGAACAACCGATCGGATCAGAACCACATAACCAGTCTGTCTAATCAATGTTTGAACACAGCCAGAGAGCCTAGCTGATGAATAACACTGACTAGCTGCACTAAAACATGTCCTGTTTGACTTTTAACTTACTTAATGCTCCTTTTGAGAGAAATCTCCTGATGGCCATGTCTGTGGGGGGATCAGAAATGGAAAATACCTTTGGTTCAGTCTTTTTTACATTTTTTTTTTACCCGACATATAGGCCGAAAAACCAATTGGTTGAACGTGGATAAATGCAAGGCTACCTAGATATGAACGCTTTAAAAGCTACCCAGTCTGGTCCGTGGTGGCCCAGAAGTGAAAGCTCCAATAGTTTGCAGGTCTAAGTCTGTCCCTGGAGCAGTTGGATGCTGTTTGAAAGGCCGACATTAAACACAGTAACTTGTAAGGTGTGTGCTGGTGAAGGTTCAGTAGATGAGAGTAGACTAAAGAGCTCCCAGTCCTTATGATGTTGTTGGACGTCACCTCCAAGAGGGGGACTGGACCAAACTTTGTTAAAACTTTCATTGGATTTACATGACACAGACATAAATTCAGTCTTTAATGTGTCAAT